GGGCATAGGTTTAAGGTGAGAGGGGAAAGATTTAAAAGGGACCTGAGGGGTAACTTTTTCACACAGAGGGTGGTGCGTGGACGGAACAAGCTGCCAGAGGAAGTGGTGGAGGCTGGTACAGTTACAACATTTAAAAGACATTTGGACAGGTTTGGAGGGATGTGGGCCAAATGTAGGCAGGTGGGACTGGTTTAGTCTCAAAAATTTGGTCAGCGTGGACGCATTGGACCAAAGGATCTGTTTCCGTTCTGTGCAACTCTAAGTGCAGTTAGGAGTAAGATGTCCCAGGTGAAGGTGAGAGCAGGTTGGAAATTGGAAACCAGTGGCAGGAGAGAGTGGGGGCAAGTGTGCTAAGAGCCTGGCATTTGGTGTGTATCGGAACATGCGTCCCGGGGCAGCGTAGCAACCCATTCTGTAGTTACTGCTAACGTCCTGCCTGGTCGTCCAAAGCGAACTTTAACCGCTGTATGTTCTCTCCCTCTCTGCCGTGTCTCAGAGACAGTGAGCGAACCAAGGAGCGTGCCCCACGGGGCTGGCATCACGCACATGGCCGAGGGGAGTGCCTTCAGCTGCGGAACATTCTGGAATTCCCTGCGCCAGGATCGCCTCTGAGCTGTTCAGCGTGCGGGACCCCCCCCGCCCTGTGCACGGTGTAAAATATGTAACTTTATAAATATTATACAATGAGGGTTGTGAAATTTTATATACTGTAAACAGCTTGTAAATTGGGTTTGCGTTCTTTTGTACAGCAAAGTGCCATCTCGCTCTCGAGCTTCCTTGTCCCTCTCGTCGCCAATCATTTGTTTTCGTCGGCATCTGGAATTTAGTTTTAATTTACACACCACCTAGATTATCATTTCCAACAAGGACCGGTGTTTGCTTCTGGGGATGGGACACTGCTTTCCCCTAATCTCTCTCTGCCCTCCCTCCCTCATATGTCTGTCTGTTCTTTTGCAGTTGTCTTTTATTACTAATAAAAAAAAAATTAATTTTCATTCTTCACCGCTCAGCTGCGGCCTGCACCATGATCTGTTAAATGAACGGTGCACAGGATAACTGTGTTATATCGCAACCTGCACACACCCACCACCCCCTCGCATCTAACACGCAGGCACTGCACACACAGATTTGTGTAAAAACACACCACACGGTGACACAATAATGTACGCTCCTTGAGAAGGTTTCTTTAATAATGCCTTCCACCGCTTCAGAAGTTGCTGTTTTACAGAGACACAGATTGTGACAGATGCACATCCACAGGGACTATATTAGCTTGTATGTGAGAAGCTCCAGCTTTAGGGGTGATGGGGAAGAGTTTGTTTCCCCCTTGTGGGTGAGTCTAGGGTATCATCTTGGAGTCAGGGGGTCACCCATTGATGGGGAGGAATTGCTTCTCTGAGGAACCATTGAGGCTGAGAGAGAGGAAGGGGATTAAGAATGATCGTGCCTGCCAAGATCTCAGTGAATGGCACAGCAGAACGCCATGAGGTAGCAGTGCTAACCACCGAATGGTAGAAACCCCTCCAGCGTCAGAGAGAACCGTTTTGTGCTCCCAGTTAACCTTGCTTAACCCTCCCCATGGCATGTAGCCCTTAGTGCTCAAGAATTACCTCAACCTTAAAAAAAATGTTTTAAAAGATTCTACATCTGCTGCTTTTTGAGGAAGGGAATACCAAAGACGCTGAACCTTCTCAGAACAAATGTTTTCTCACCTCTGTCTTAAATACCAACACCCCCCCCCAATATCTTTCTTTTAAACTATGGCCCCTAGTTCCAGAGGGTTGGTATAGACTCAATAGGCTGAATAGCCTGCTTCCACATTGTAGACATTCTATGGGAAGCTCATTCTATTCAAGAGGAGACCTCCTCTCCACAGCCACCTGGTCAAATTCCTCTCAGGATCTTATTTGTTCCAATTCAGTCTCCTCTGACTCTTCTAAACTCCCAGAGGATACAGGTCAAGCTTTACCTCGTAAGGCAACCACTCATTCCAGGTGTCGGTCTCTCTTTGAACAGCTTCCCAGACATTACCATCCTTCCGTAAGTCCAGTACTGCACACAGATTTTAGCAGTGGCTAGAGAGTTGTCTGGTCACATTGAGCTTGAGGCGATGGACAGATTAAAGCGAACATCAGAATGAAGCAATGTCGTTTGTTGGGTGGGAAGGGTTCTCCAGGAAAGATCAGAATGTTAAAAATTCTCCTGAACGGTCATCTCAACCCAAAATGTTTGGTTTTTTTTCTGGTGCCATTCTCTCCCACCACCCCCTTGGGCCATTCTCTCTCCCCCACAATGTCTTAATCTAGGGGCAATTTGCTCTTGAAAGGACACAGGAGGAGGACACAGTTTTAAAAGGGTTCACGTGTCCGTCAACACTAAACAAAGCAGCCCTCATGTCAGTCAGGTCCCAGTGCAGGTTCATAAATATTCTATAAACAATTGTCTCTGCTTCCCGCCCCCCCCTCAGCTTCTGATCAAGCAGGAGTCAGCTCCAGGTATTCCGCGACTGTGCAAACCTCTCCAGTCCCTCCTGCAACAGTTTCATGCTCATCCCGTGCCGAACCAGGATACACAGGACACCTGGGAAACCGGGAGAGAGCATCGTCAGACGGACAGGCAGAGTAGGAGAGGGAAGAGTGTGAAGAAAGAGGCGGGAAGTGCCGAGAGAAAAAGGGCTCGCGAAGAGAGTGCGAGCGGGGCAAAAAGAGAGGTGGGGGGGAACCAGAGAGAGAAAAGGCACCCTAGAATATTCAAGGAAGTAGCTACAGGGATATTGGATACACTGGTAAGAAATCCTTAGATTCTGGAAAAGTCCCAGAGGATTGGAAAACTGCCAATGTATCACGTCTATTCAACACAGGGAAAAAGAGACAAAATAAAACCGGTAACTACAGGTCATCAGCTCAACGTCTGTTATTGGGACAACGTTAAGGGTCTATTTTACAGAAGGATAGATAGAGGAGGAGCAGTAGACGTAACATATTTGGATTAGGTGGTGTTTGGGAAGGTACCACGCATTAGGCTGCTTAATAAAACAAGAGCCCGTGGAGGTAGTTTATTAGCAATGGGTAGAAGGTTGACAAATATAAGGCAATGATAAGGGGGACGCTTTCAGGATAGCGACCTGTAACTAGTAGAGTGCCACAGGGATCAGCGCTGGGCCCACAATTATTTATGCAATACATTCATGACTCGAAAGAGGCAAGTGAACATACTGTGTCCAAGTTTACAGATGAGAAAGAAACAGGTGGGAGGACAAGCGGCGAGGACGACACACAGTCTAAAAGGATACAGACAGCTTAAATAAGTGGGTAAAAACGTAGCTGATGCAATGGAATGTCAGCTTATGCTCTTTGCTGGGAAAAATAGAGGAGCTGAATGTTATTTAAAATGGAGAAAACTACAGAACACTGGGATTTGGTTCACTTATCCAGGGAACATCAGAGGCAGGCCAGGGAAGGTTCACTCCGCTGATCCTGGGTAGGGAGGGACTGCCTCATGAGGAGAGGGGGAGTCGGTCGGGCC